TATATATATATATACATCATACATATATATGTGCGCACAAGAATTTAATAATCCAACAGATTCATAGGCACCTAGGTTAGAATAATGCACATAGTAATCAATTATCGATCTGGCTGCGCGGCGCTGCGCAAATCTTATTCGTTCGAATGAAATCTCGATATCCCTGTCACTGTCTGCTTGGGAATTTATTTTACCTGTGTTCGCCAGGAAAGTTGATCACGTTCCCGCGGATCGGCGACTTATCGCCGCGCGAGAACAACGATGCGAAAACGCAACGAGAGATTCAGAGAAGAGAATCGACAATGAACCTTCGCGCACGAAGCGAGCGCCCTTCTGGACCGTTGCGACTTTCGGCCATTTTCGGCTGCTTTCGGTCTTTCTCGGTAATTTCCGTCAATCTTCGGGATCACCATAGACGAGAAGTTATTAAGCTACATTTCATATATCGCTCAATGCTCCTTTTTAAGCGATAAAAGAATCACATGACAGACAATTCCTCGGCCAATGGCTCGTTCAGCAGACTCAACAAATAATTGAATACTCGCTGTTATTAATGTATTCTTTTAGATCCAATCAGAATTTTAGATCTAGTCTATGCTGAACGCAGCCATTGGGTGTATCTAGATGCGCAACCGCTCATTGAGCGTTCAAGGAACTCTTTCATCTGATTGATCTATATTTTAAAATCTAACAGAATATGCCAATCAGATGAAAGGACTCACTGGATGCACTCAGCTGGTGATCCAACGTTCCTCAATTATCTTATTATCTTATTATCGAAATTCTTTTGATAGTCATCATGTTGATAGTCACAAAAATTTGCTCAGGATTTGGTCAGGGTTGACGGTCTTTATAAGTATCACGATTACATATTATTGTGATTTGTATATAACAGATTTGTGATGAACAGTGAACCAAGAAATGGAAGCTTTCATCGGAAGTATGGCTTGACAGTACTCGACGTCAAACATACATATATAGTGACGAAGTGAACAGTCTAGTTATAGAAAGCTGTAGTTTAAAGGTTTAAACTTCCTCGGCGACGTCGACGTCATGCGCGCAGGCGATCGCCGCGCCATTCGCGATGATGTCCGACGTTCCGTCGTTCTCTCGACGATCGGACGATTGCGTCAATGCCGAGGTAGAGCATATAACGCGTAACCAGAGTGTGTGTCCCCTCTCCAAAGGGTGTCCTGTATTTTCGAACGTGCCTGTCGCCCCTTCTACTACGCTGCACACCTTTCGTGCCTCTGCGTTGCGTTGCTTCTAAAGTCGCAGAAGTAATTCAACGCCACAATTGAGGACGATCCTGCAGACGACACAATGACGGGATGAGATGTAGATCTTTCGGAGCTGCGTGACAACATTGTGTCATTTTGGAGCAGACAACCGCGAGGCTAGTTACGTATCGATCTCTGATCATAGGCGATGCGTCCTCGTGTTGTTAGTAAACCGTGGACTTCAACACGTCGGTAAAGATCACCCGTCGAACAAGAGAGATGGAGATCCTCGGCGATTACGAATACAATCCTAAGGACCTGATCGGCACTGGTGCCTTTGCCGTGGTCTTTAGAGGCAGGCATCGCAAAGTTAGTATCATCTAGTTCTTACCTTAAAACAGAGATTGATTGATTGTCATTAAAAATTATCTGAAATATATACATATATTTATAGATGAATGTATATATATATATATATGTCTTAATAAAGTGTGTGTGTGTGTGTGTGTCTGTGTATGTGTGTGTTTGTTTGTTCTTAGATATATTAAATATACTTCTTTGTGAAGATTCCATTGTTTTAGCAGTCTTGCAAGCTTTCTGAAACTTCTTTGTAAAATTTTATCAAGATAGATAACATAATATATATAGGATAAAGGAGTTTTCTTATAAGTATTGTGTCTACAATACTGGAAATCAGTCCGAGATCTCAGGCAGAGAAATAATGGATCAATCACATTAGTGAATTGTTTAAATATAGTTCGTTAATTCTTTCTGCAGTTAAGATTTTAAAATAATTTTTAGCATCACAACGTATTTTTGTATTAATAGGATATATTTGTAATATTTGTTAGAAGATTGTGAGATTTTTAATATAGAATTTTGTTATTGTTCTAAAGGAATCTACTTATGAGATTTTTTTGTAAAATGTCTTCCGTGAGTTAAAATATCCATTAAACTTTTTAGATTTGAAATCTATATTCTACATTTTGAAATTTAATTTGAATTCATTTTTTTTAAATTAATTCAGATTAATTAATTTTATTACAGGATGATTTAATAATTTTTATTATATTAATACTGAATAATAATAATTTTGTCTATTTTTATATTTTGCAGAAACCAAATCTGGTAGTAGCTATCAAGAGCATCACAAAGAAGACTTTGGCTAAGTCACAAGACTTACTGAAAAAGGAGATCAAAATTTTAAAAGTATGTCCTTTTTGTTTATAATGAATTTTCAAAATTTCATGAACACAGAGAGAAAAAAGAATTATTAAAAAATATATGTTTGTTATAATATTGCATGATATTTTTATTGTAACAAAATTTTTATGTACTTTATCTTACAGGCATTAACTAAACTACATCATGAAAACGTTGTTGCATTGTACGATTGTAAGGTGAGACAATTATCTTTACAAGAATATTTATGCAAAAATATTATGAAATCATTAAAATTAATATCATTTTGATGCAGGAATCTAATCATAATGTCTTCCTGGTTATGGAGTATTGTAATGGTGGAGATTTGGGAGATTATTTAAATGGTGAGCAGACACAACACACAAATTTTTTAAATTGCACAATATTTGAATAAAATGAAAACAATGAAACTTTAATGCATTAAGGTGCTTTTTTTATGCTGATGTTCGATGCTCATTTTTGGCGTTAAAATAAGTCAGATAATAAAAATTGACGTATCAAGCGTCAATTTTGATCACTTTGCTTATTTAATGCTGAAAATGAGCATCGAGCATCAGCATGAAAAGGCATCTATAGAGTGAATAGGGATTTAGTATAAATAATTCATATCTTTTGTAATAGCAAAAGGTACCCTTTCCGAGGATACCATCCGATTGTTTCTCAAGCAGTTGGTTCGTGCAATGAAAGTACTGCACGCCAAAGGGATCGTCCACAGAGATCTGAAGCCACAAAATATCCTATTGAATCACAACTGTGGCAAAGCCTGTCCACAGCCACATGAAATAACATTAAAGATAGGTAAAAACATTTTTATTTCTCTATTTTCTCTATTTCTTTCTTCTTTCTTAAGATCGATTTCTCTATTAATAAATGACGTTGATACATTTCTTTTTGTTTCAGCGGATTTTGGTTTTGCTAGGTTTCTGCAGGAAGGCGTGATGGCTGCGACTTTGTGTGGATCGCCAATGTACATGGCGCCCGAAGTTATTATGTCTCTTCAATATGACGCTAAGGCGGATCTGTGGTCCGTTGGGACTATATTATACCAGTGTCTTACCGGAAAGGCACCACATCCCGCAAATAATCCTCATGCACTCAAGTCGATCTACGAAAACACTGTGAATCTTGTTCCTAGGTATAGAAATGTCTAATAAGAATTTTTCATGTTTTATATCAATATATATAATTGATATTGGATGAAAATATTTCTGAATTATAGATTGAAATGTTTCATAAGCAGCGGATTCTTTATATGTTTATAGAATTCTTCATTGCGCCACTTGTCACACATTTATATCTAATCATATTAGCTTTTCCTAATTTTTTAATCTGGCCTGTTTCGAAATTCTTATTTTTTAAATTTTACGTTAAGAAGAAAAAATTATAGCAAAAAATAATATAGAAGAAAGAGTATCATGTCTATTTTTTTAGTATACCACCTGGAACATCAACTGAACTGACAAATCTCTTGATGGGCTTGCTGAGACGCGAAGCGACTGACCGTATGGATTTCGATCAATTCTTTGGTCACCCTTTCCTCACGGGTGTTCGAGAGAGTCTAAGTCCAAGCCCCGTGCCTACCGATCTACCGGCGTCACCAGGAACAATGGCAATTCCGATTGAGGAAGGAACGCCGATTGTCAATAGATTGGAGCCCGAGACGACAGAGACTCCTTGTTCTAGTCCTGATGATGATTTCGTTCTTGTGCCGAGCGACATCAGCAGCGATACTGACAATAATCCGCCAGTCAAGTAATATACATACATTAGATGATCCGAAAAGAAAAATGAATATTAAGAAAATTAGTAAAAGTTATACAAAACAATTAGGAAAAATTTAATATCGGATTTGAAATATCCTCTAAAACTGATTTCGTGATCTTTATATATTTTCATATCTTTATTTTTACTTTGTTATTTAAATGTAAAATGTTTTACTAGAATGGTTGTCTTATATTCAATATTTCTTAGGTATACCAAACAAGTGAGTAGAGAAGCTGTTAGTCCACCTCGACCGTGCTTATCGAAATTGGGCGAGTATGTAACATTTTATTACTTCTTATAATGTTTTCTCTTGGCTGCACTATCGCCTATCAGTGTACAGACAGAACACTGTAGCAGACAGTGTAGCATATTTCCTTGGCTGGTAGGCGAATTCATTCAGTGTAACGTGTTTCCATAGCTATAATGTAGTGCAAATTTTATGCACGAAGTGGGGTTTTGCTGCACGATCTCAAAGAGATGGTGTAGAGTCAATGTGACATTAAAAATTTGAAAATGGAAGTCAATTGGTAGCAGAATTAAACACGCATGAAGTAGTGTAACTATAGTGTATGTACACTTTTGTAGAGCAGCACTGATGTAACACGCAACTAGTGTAGTGCGAAGTTACACTCAGTATCCCAAGAAAAAACGCTTAATTAAATATATCAAATTGCAAATTTTTTAGACATAAAATCAATTTATTATTTTATTATCGCATTTTTTATTACTTTTCTAACTATGATTATCCATTAGATATACTAGACAGACAAGTAGAGAAGCCATCAGTCCACCCAGACCATGCTATCTACCGATTTCTGAGCCGATTCCCGTTCCATGTCAACGAAACGCAGTGACTCAACAACCACCACAATCTCCCTCGACGAATGCTGCCCGTTCTGGCGGTAGCAGTGTCGTGCCTCGTTCACAACCGATTAGCATGAAACGTAGCGTGGATTCTCACAGAAATCATCCACCAAGCATTGGTTCTCTCAGTCCACCTAGTGTGCAGTTTGTCATCGGCACTCCGCCCGGCAGAAGGTATGGATATGTCCTCAAATGAGTTCAGATTCAAAAATATTTTCCTCCTTTTTTGTAGATTCTTAAATAATCTAAATTATAGAATTTTACCTTTTTTTGAATTAGAATAAAATAATT